CAATTCCGACTTTATATCTCGCAATTCCGACTTTATAATTCGCAATTTCGACTTTATAACTCACAATTTCGACTTTATATCTCGCAATTCCGACTTTATAACTCACAATTCCGACTTTATAACTCACAATTCCGACTTTATATCTCGCAATTCCGACTTTATATCTCGCAATTCCGACTTTATATCTCGCAATTCCGACTTTATAATTCGCAATTCCGACTTTATATCTTGCAATTCTGACTTTTTTCCTGAGAATCGCCAGTTTATGTCTTGCAATTCTGACTTTATAACACGTAATTGCGAGTTTAGCCTATATCACGCAATTCTGAGAAAAAAAAGTCAGAATTGCGAAATTCGTGAGTACGGTTTATTAATCCGTGGGCACGATTTGTTAAACCGAGGGAACAGTTTAAGAATTTGTGAGTACGGTTTATAAACTGAGGGGACGGATTGTTTTTTTTTTTTCTCCTACAGGTGACTGCTTCCATAGGCTCCGTAGGCTTCCATACAAACCATATTCTTTTACTTGGAAAACTTTACTGCAGCCCGTTCTGACTTTATATCTCGCCATTCTGACTTTATAACTCGCAGTTCTGACTTTATAACTCGCCGTTCTGACTTTATATCTCGCCATTCTGACTTTATAACTCGCCATTCTGACTTTATATCTCGCCATTCTGACTTTATAACTCGCCATTCTGACTTTATATCTCGCCATTCTGACTTTATAACTCGCCATTCTGACTTTATATCTCGCCATTCTGACTTTATAACTCGCCATTCTGACTTTATATCTCGCCATTCTGACTTTATAACTCGCCATTCTGACTTTATATCTCGCCATTCTGACTTTATAACTCGCCATTCTGACTTTATATCTCGCCATTCTGACTTTATAACTCGCCATTCTGACTTTATATCTCGCCATTCTGACTTTATAACTCGCCATTCTGACTTTATATCTCGCCATTCTGACTTTATAACTCGCCATTCTGACTTTATATCTCGCCATTCTGACTTTATAACTCGCCATTCTGACTTTATATCTCGCCATTCTGACTTTATAACTCGCCATTCTGACTTTATATCTCGCCATTCTGACTTTATAACTCGCCATTCTGACTTTATATCTCGCCATTCTGACTTTATAACTCGCCATTCTGACTTTATATCTCGCCATTCTGACTTTATAACTCGCCATTCTGACTTTATATCTCGCCATTCTGACTTTATAACTCGCCATTCTGACTTTATATCTCGCCATTCTGACTTTATAACTCGCCATTCTGACTTTATATCTCGCCATTCTGACTTTATAACTCGCCATTCTGACTTTATATCTCGCCATTCTGACTTTATAACTCGCCATTCTGACTTTATATCTCGCCATTCTGACTTTATAACTCGCCATTCTGACTTTATATCTCGCCATTCTGACTTTATAACTCGCCATTCTGACTTTATAACTCGCAGTTCTGACTTTATAACTCGCCGTTCTGACTTTATAACTCGCAATTCCGACTTTATATCTCGCAATTCCGACTTTATAATTCGCAATTCCGACTTTATATCTTGCAATTCTGACTTTTTTCCTGAGAATCGCCAGTTTATGTCTTGCAATTCTGACTTTATAACACGTAATTGCGAGTTTAGCCTATATCACGCAATTCTGAGAAAAAAAAGTCAGAATTGCGAAATTCGTGAGTACGGTTTATTAATCCGTGGGCACGATTTGTTAAACCGAGGGAACAGTTTAAGAATTTGTGAGTACGGTTTATAAACTGAGGGGACGGATTGTTTTTTTTTTTTCTCCTACAGGTGACTGCTTCCATAGGCTCCGTAGGCTTCCATACAAACCATATTCTTTTACTTGGAAAACTTTACTGCAGCCAGAAGGTTGTAGTTGAAAGACTTACACCTATGAATCCTCCTAACACTGCCAACCCATCCGCTTTACCAGCAGCCTCAGCGAGATTTGCGTATCTGGAGTTATAATGAACCACGTGGATCTGAGGAATGAGGAAACTGCGGTAGTAAGTGTTTATGCAATATGCCACACATTATGCAGTTTTTATAATCACTCATGTTCCAGAAAGACTGGGCCCAACAACATGATCTCTGAATGGGTGGCTGTATAGAGAGACCATTAAACCGTGTGTTTCTTCATCTCAGCTCACCTCAGCAGGGAAATGCACATGATCTATGGTGTGCTCTGAGCCAGGGACCTCTGTGGTTCCCCAGTGGAAGTGAAGCTGGGCTGCGACGTAAACATGATCGAATCCCCTCATGATCCGCATGCTGCTCGGCAGACTCAGCTGCACTGACGCAAGAACAGAAAATACATGCTTTCAGATAGCTTTTCATTTCTGAAATTAAAGTAAGGTCATTACATGTAATTATGTCATTTAAGTCAGCAACAAAAACAAATGGTAAATAAAGTCAATAAACTGTATTTGTATTTTAAGCATTATTTAAACCCACTCTTTAAAAGGGTCCATTTGATAAATTAAAGTACAAAACTGGCTTTCTGCATGCATGATTTTATTTATTTTATTATTTTTACAATCATATACTCAATAAATTTGATGAAATACACTCATTCCTACAAGAATGAAACATGATTAAGTCATTGAATCACTCACTCAACTGATTCTTTCAAAAACCACATTCATTAAGAAATAAAACACCGCTATTGCTCAAAGATACAATGATTGCTTCTGTTTTGACTTCATTTTTAACAATTATTTTTGGTGAAGCAAAAATACACAAAGTAGCTGGCAATATTCTGTCTACAATTTTAATTAGTCAATTTTACCGTCTTGTTTGTTGAAAAGCAACAGCATGAAAGAAGGTCATACATTCATTTGGGGACCTACTCTCACTATTAACTATTAACTATGACCTTTGCCTCAAAAAACTAATTTGCTGCTTATTAATAGTTAGTAAGGTAGTTGTTAAGTTTAGGTATGGGTCGAATTAAGGGATCTAAAATATGGCATTAATGTGCTTCATAAGTACTATAAACTGCCAATCTGCTAGTAATAGGCATGCTAATAAGCAACAAGTTAATAGAAATAACTGGTCCTTAAATTAAAGTGTTACTTAAAGCATTGTATACTTAACATGCTGTTTCATTATCTTAATGTTTGTTGCACGGGAGAGATTTAACAAAAAAGGAGACCTGTGCCAACTAACAATAGTCTCCTCTTTAATAATCAAAATACACAAAACTGGAATCGTCCTTGTTTTTTATTTTTATTTTTCACAAATATGTAATAACACTGTCACATGTCACTGACATACTGACAGTCGAACTAGAGTCATTTGCTGCTGTGGTGTGAACAGTTCAATACGGGTCTTGTGTTTGGTGTGAAAGGGCCTCGACTCACATGTGTGTCCGTTGTTGATGAGGGTAAGAGCGGGAGAGCCGGCGAGATCATAACCCTCCAGTTTAATGGGAGGCAGATTGGGCTCATAGAAAACCTTATGAGTGTCTATGTTGACTGGAGACTGAGCTTTTCCACTACAGTGTTCAAACGCAGATAACCACGCGTCCTGATCTGGCCGAGACAAAGAAATCAATGACATGCAACAGCCTTAACAATACCAGTTTATTTAAAAGTTAACTGATGACATTTTTACGCAACAAGTTTTATTTGTATAGTGCCTTTCCAAAATCCAAGGCCATTTTTCAGAGCCTGATAACAATGCATTACAATAAACATAAAAAAAGCACTAGTAATACCACAAGTAGAAACACTTTACAATAACAGTACATGAATAACCATTTACTAATGCATGTTAGTTCATGTGAATGCCAATGTCAACCTCAAAATGTAATTAACACATTAACTAACAGTTGTTGTTTTTCCCACATGAATTTATATGACTCATGTATTATAGGTTAGTCCTTGATTAGCTCATCATTAGTTAACCGATATTTAATTTAGGTATTAATACGTGATTATTTTTTTGCTTTTATTATAAAGTGTTACCGATAAAGCTTCAGGACATTGTTGCATTGCATGAATTGCTAAGACCTCGGTTAAAATACTCTAAAGCTTTGAGTCTTTGGGGTGTTCATGATGGAAACACAGACTGTCAAAGGTGTTTCACAAGAACTGATACTGACGTCATGGACGCAATAAAGCAATAAACTCACGCAGAGTACAAATATGTGCAAACTAAACTAATCTTTCTGAAAACATTTTTTAAGAGGTTTTTATATATTGTTTTCAGTTGTATTTGTTTTAGAATATTTGTTTAATATATTTATATTAAAATCATTTCATTTTATTTATACATTTAATGTCTGATTACATTTCAAATGTTTAGCTTTTGGTCCTTTAGCAGTTAGTGTAAAAAGTGACTTTTTGTATGAGTGACTGTATCATGACTGAATCATTTACTCAATACATTTCATCAGATACAGTCTCACACGGGAACAAAAAAATGTGACTGTTTATGAGTGAGTCTCTGAATCACTAGTTTTACAGTACACTCTTAAAAATAAAGGTGCTTCACGATGCCATAGAAGAAGCTTTTTGTCTAAATGGTTCCATAAAGAACCTTTAACTAACATCTGAAGAACCTTTCGGTTTCGTTGTGGCGAAAGAAGGTTCTTCAGATTATAAAAAGGTAAGAAAGAGACGGTTCTTGACTGAATGGTTCTTTTTGGAACCAAAAATGGTTATTCTATAGCATCGCTTGAAGAACCTTTTGAAGCACCTTTATTTTTAAGAGTGTTCACTGGTATATTGTACCATGTTTCACCTTCTAGATCAGTATGTTATAACACACTATATTTCAATATTCAGATGTTTTATCTACCGTTTATTTATTTGTATTAAGCACATGTTAATGTCACTTACTAGTAGCATGATTCCATGTTGACCTGATTTGAATTGGATTTTAATCAGTGAATCTGATTGCATTATTATTATTAAATGTACAAAATATTTACTCTACTTTCTAATCTAATGAAATAAGTGCTACAAATCATATAAATGATGTTTCCCTTCACTCACAGTATTATACAGCAGTATTACTAGGTGATGAAAGTAACTAATGGCGCTTTTCCACTGCACGGTACGGTTCAGTAAGACTAGAAATGTCTGCTATGATCCACTAATAAGTGTGAGTTAGATACAAAACTGTATGTAAAACTCTGAGTTAAAAGTCATTGTGGGTGGTTACAGTGCATGTATATATTTACCATGGTAACCCCAGTGGTGCTGATGAGAAGAACCTGTAGGAAATGGAAAGACATTGTGTCAGGGACGTATATTGAGAAAATTGCCTTTAAAGTTGGACAAATTAAGTCCTTAAGTTTTGATATATTTACGGTAGGAAATTTACAAAATATCTTCATGGAACATGATCTTTACTTAATATCCTAATGATTTTTGGCATAAAAGAAAAATCTATAATTTTGACCCATACAGTGTATTGTTGGCTATTGCTACAAATATACCCCAGCGACTGCTTTTGTGCTCCAGGGTCACATTTGATAAATTGAAATTCTGGTAACTTTTCGTAAAATAAGGCTCCAAGCAGGATCCTGCCAAGTATAACCAACTACAAATAAATCATGAAGACTATGAAGCAGAAACTTTGCTGCTTGGATCTCTAGTGAGGTGAACTTCAACCAACTTTTTAATGTATATATAATGCCATAATAATAATATCAGATATTACTGTAATATGCTAACATGCTGCTATAATGTTCTGTTACAGTTATGGGGCAAATAGATTTCGAGCAAACCAGGCACAGGTAGATGAACGAACTGTGAGAACAGGTTTGGTCATTGTGAGACAGTAAGAGCAGTATCTTTTCTTTCTTCACACACATCAGCACACTCACACAATCCCTCCTTCATCCAGCTCTGTGAATGTGAGCATTATGTGCAGACGCTTCACTGCTCACTTACATCAGCGCTAATGCTAAACTCAACCTGCTACGCTTAGAACAGAAGAATTCACAGCTCAGGCCACTGCCAGAGAAGGCCATACGGCTGAGATTTCGAAATCAGACCGAATACAGAGCTGTCAGCACTGTAAAAACAAATGTTTCTTTCAAAGTTGATTATTGCAGTACATTTTCCAAAAAAACACAATTTCAGTCTTTCTACTTCAGAATTTGCTGTTTCTTTGTAATTTACTGTGAAATTTATTACCAATTTCTGAGTAAGAAACACCATTGTTTTTTTTTCAGTTCTGGAGGTCATTCCTGGCCACATTTAACTGTTTGAGATCATAATACGAATCAGTTTGAAAGATTGTTCATCAGAGCATGATACATTTAGTATATAATTCAAGTATTATTGCAACATGTAGAAGTCCTGAAAACAACAGTGAGAAATAAGAGCTAATCCATGTTGAGGAAAATAACTGGCTGACTCCATGCGTGATGCTGATATTCATAACTACACTCTCACACTGCATGACATTTCTAATTTCCCATATCTGCAATTTGCTGTCATTAATTTTGAAACATTTTGTCAGACACTGGCAAGTTTGCCTCTGTATAGGTAATAACTCTAGTTGCTGTTTTTAAAACGGTAACATATCGCTTTTTGGAAATCTGAGTTGGTATTTGTGATTTTTCATTTATTATATTATATTTAAAGTTAATTATTTTCATGTGGCAAATCTGTTTGTTCTGTATTTTCTGTTTTATACATTATTGCTACTGATGACTTCATTCCTGACGCAGAGGTAAGACGAAGGAGATTTTATTCATGTGACTGGACATTCTTTCTCATGCTCATACTTACACATAGAGAGATTATCCAGCAGTTCAGAACAGTGAGCCAGTCAAAGCACAGCATATTAGCCTTATTTGACACTTTTGGCCATTTTACGTAGGGTAAAACACAAAAATATCCAGCTTATTTTTGATCTCTGTAATTGATAAGCTTTTCATCAGAATCAGGATGTGTGTGTGTGTGTGTGCGTGCCTGTGTGTGTGTGTGTGTGTGCCTGTGCGTGTGTGTGTGTGTAAAAGAGAGTGTGTGTGTGTGTGTGTGTGTTTATGGGAAGCAGTGCCATCATGTGAGCTGGAGATGCTAGTACACTGTGAGCAGCACGTAGACCAAACGCTCTCCAACCTCAGAAACCACAAACAGCTCATGGGTACCGCCGTCCAGGAATATTTGATCAATGCGTCACATTGACTCACAGTAACTTAACATTACTCTCCTGGAGGTCATCTCTTCATTACTGTAAATCCTGTCCCTGTTTTTATGGAGGAATTTCATTTTCTGCACTATTCAAGTGATCCTGAATGAAGGACTTTCCTCTTTGCTATTTCTTTTTATTTTCATTCACTCATTTTCAGTAATATCTTGTTTTATGAGCTATTTCACAATAAGCCAATCAAACATTAACTACTGCAACATACCATAGACACATAATATACCATAAACACCATAAATACACACTTTGATCATCGGCAGGTTTAAAGATCTCCAGATACAAATGACATCAAATCTTGTAAAGAAGATATTTTACAGCATATAACTTATGGATATCATCCTGTTGTGTTTAAATCAGAGAGCAGTACATATGGATGAAAGCCAGCACCCAAAGTCAACAGTCTTAACTCTGCTGAAACAGTCAGGAGAAAGCAATCTTAATTGCACTTTCATAATTTACAGGGGTTTTTTTAACTAAAGTTTTCATTTGTATGGTCTTGTCTGTGTTGAATCTGTCTATGAATATTTGACTAGCCTTTTCATTATTTAAATAGAAAAGATGATGCCATGCATGTTTTAGCACTTCCAAATGTTTGTTCACTTCCTTAATATTTGAATAAAGGCTGGAGAAGAAGCAAGCTTGCTCTTAGACCAGCAGAGTTTTACACACAGTTACGCTGATGGATGCTCTGATTTTACAGTCACAGGCAGATCTGCTCACCTTTACTGCGTTGTGCGTCCCTCTCACTGCTTTCATCTTCCTCAGCGGAGGATGAAGATGCTATGACTAGCACCTGGAGATGAAGGACGAGGAGTATATCAAGCAGCATGCTGACCTCCGCAGCACTAGAGTTTTCCACAGGTATCTTGGTGTTGTTTCTCATTCACACACAGCATCTCAGCCTCTGCTTTAGTGACTCAGGGGTCTGCCGACTGGGGCCGGGCTTCACAGAACAAACCAATCACAATGCTCAAGCTGCTCAAGGTTCCAGGACATCTCTCTCTCTCTCTCTCTCTCTCTCTCTCTCTCTCTATTTCTTAGAGTTAGAGTGTAACCAAATCTCTCACTCTCTCATAAACGAAATGCCTCCCTCCTTCCTTGATCAAAGTTCAGTGGGAATAAGCTACAAACTGCGTAGCTAATTCTGTTAAAGCAAACACTGTAAAAAATCAAAAGTTGATGTTGTGAAAAAACCGGATCACAAAAGTAAGCACACCCTTTCTCTCATGCATTAAGTGTTCAAACATTAATAAAGGATATTTGTGAGGATTTTGCTTTTGATCAAATACAATTCTTTTGATTTAGCTACAATCACAAATCCCCACTTCTAATCCCTAATGCATAATTTCTTGAAAAGCTTATTTACCCGT